CTTATAAACAAGATTAAGATAATAGACGTTGCTTAGGCTTTTGTATAAGAAGTCTACTGCTACTATAGCTTTCTATAGTCTATTACGTCTAACTGCGGACCCTAGTTCGCAAGCTAACTATAGGAAAACATCTACAAGCTGCTAAATATTTAGCGGAATCTTGTAATGGGCGGGCCCAACGGGCCGAGCGTACGACTACTTACGCCATCCATAGCCAAAAAGGCAGTAACAAGACTTCAAGCTTCTTGAAGTCTAGGTAGTCGTATAGATATACTCGATCACACACACACTTTAGGCGTAGCCTCTTACAATACCTCCTCTCTTAAAACGTACGAGTATATCTACTACTTGCCCCCATAGGGATCACGTGACCCTTGTCACGTGACCATCACGCGACCCTTGTCACGTGATCACGTGGCCCTTGCCACGTGTCCTATGTGAGCCAACGCTTCTGGCCTGTACCAGAATCGAACGTTAGACCCTTAGGGTAGCTTGAAGTAATGTAATGGGCGGGCCCAACGGGCCGAGCGTACGACTACTTACGCCATCCATAGCCAAAAAGGCAGTAACAAGACTTCAAGCTTCTTGAAGTCTAGGTAGTCGTATAGATATACTCGATCACACACACACTTTAGGCGTAGCCTCTTACAAATCTCTCTATATCTTACTACCTATAAATAGATAGGACAATAAAATAAGCTAATAGCAACATAGAAGTAGTTATATAGATCTTTTACAACTATAACTAAGATAATCAGGCTTAGCTTTATCTTCTTTTAGAACTTATGCTTAACTCTTATATAAACGCCTTTATAGGTGTATCATCCTTCTTTCTCTACTATAGTTACTATAATACTCTATTTCCCTAAAAAGAAGCTATCTTAGACAACTAAGAAGTAAGTGTAGTAGCTAAAGAGATAGTACGTACAATTAGTAATGCAGCAAACTAGGTAGTTTGAGCAATGTTATACGCCTAATAAGAGCAAAAGAAGCAAGTAAACAAATCTTGCAAACTATCGCCTACTTATAAAGTAGGAGACTAGGTCTAGCTAGACTTACGTAATATATAAATAGCCTAAATAAGTAAAAAGCTAGACTAGAAAAGTAGAAAGTACTAAGTCGCCCGCGTATAGGACCCCTACTAGGTAGAACTTGTAGTGCCTTAGGAGACAAAATCCTTCCACGTAGACAAGCTAAGGCTAGCATCTAATAACCCTTTGCTATTATAATAAATAGACAATAGCAGCCTTATAGCTATCATCGTATAAGAAGATAGAGAGGAAGAAGACTATTTAGAATAGCTTATACAAGGCATCACGGACAAACAAATATAAAATAGAGAACTATAATATCTTATTATTTAAATAAGCTACCTAGAGGGAAGTTAGAAACTAGCTATAGCACTTAAAGACATAAAGGCCCTAGATAAATAGCTTGCCTAAACTTCTTTTATATAAAAACCTAACAGCTAGCTATAAAAGAGCTAAAGGCGAAAGCTACTTGATAAGTAATAGAGACCTAGCGCTACCCCTAGAGGCTAAATAATCCCTCTTAGTGCCTAAAAGACAACGCTTAGCTAGCGTATAGATAGATAAACTATCCCCTCCTCCTGCTAAACAACAAGCGCTATAGTCTTGCTAGATGCAATTGCTACACACACCCCCCTACTCTCTATAGATAGAGACACAACTAGCAAAGGCTATAAACTCCTTCGCCTTATCTAAGACTAGCGTATAGTTATTATAAAATATAGCATTAAGGGCGCTACGTAAATAGATAAGGAAGGCCTTAAGGTATAAGAGTTAGCTACCTAAGATTTAATAAGCATAGAGCGTTGTATAGGCGACAATAGGCAAATAACCGCTAAGGCTAGGACTAAAGGTAGCATTATATAGCAACAGCCCTCTTAGATAGTATAATATATTAAAGACCTAGCAAAGCTTAGGCTATACTAGTTAGCTAATTTAGATGTATAATAAGGAAGTAACACTTATAGAAGTAGTAGCAAACACTTAGTAAATCTCTTTAGCAACTTATACGTTAAAAATATACTAAACCTAGTAGTTATTAAGGTTAACCTATCTAATAATAATAGACGCTATAGCTTAAAGAGCACCTAGCGTTATATAAGTAAGCAACTAATAAGTAATATTAAAGATTTAAGTAGTTGCCTACTGAATAGTGTTGTTAACTCTACTATTTGTGCAGAAACGTAAGGCGTTAACCTAGCTATTAGCCTATATCTTATAATTAGCTATTATATAAGAAGACTTAAGAAAGTAACTATAATAAGAGAAAAGTTAAAGCTAAAAAGATAGAGGAAATAAGTAGTAAGTAGGGGAAGAAGAGTATTTATGCTTACTAGATAGCGTTTGCTATATAGCACTATTGCCTAACTCTTTCTTACCTTTACTATTTGCCTTTACCTTAACCATATAAGACACTAAATATGTAATAGTAAATAGATAGAAAAAAAGAAAAAGAAGACTAAGAGATACGCACGTGATATTAAATAAGGTAAAGAAGGGGAGTATTATAAAGGGCTACGCTAGAGAGGTAGAACCTATAGGTTACATAGTAGTAAACTACATAACTTTAGTTACGTAACTAAATAACGTAGTTAGCTACGTATAAATAACCTTAAGTAAAGAGGAAGACTAAAGGTCTAAGCGTTTATATAAGTAATAACTATAAAAAGAGGGCCCTCTAGATAGTTCTTTTCTATATCTTTCTTGTTCTATACAATAGGTGAATGCATACTCGTTAGTTAGGCCTCTCTCACCTATAACATTTATGCTAATAAAAGCGCTTTAGATCCTTACGTTATTTATAAAAGTAAGGTTAGACTTTATAATAGCTAGGTATGCGACCTAGAGGTTAGAAAATACTACGTTTTCTTCTCTATAAGTCTATCTAGATAAAGGAATAACAACCTAGGCTTAGCATAGCTTAAATAGATTTTTAATTATTAAATAAAGGCGAAAGCTAAACGCGATTACCAGATGCTTATCTTTAATAGCTATAGTAGCCACGTCTTACCTGAATTTATTAAATATTATTACTTCTATTAAATAATACTTTTAATATTTCCACCCTACGCCACCTATACTCTACAGTCTCTTAACGTAGTGTTGTATAGGCCGCTATTAGCAGCGTACTCTAAAGAGCTATTAGAGTTTATACGCTATAGCTAAGCATTGCTCTAAATGTAGAAAAGTAATTTCCTCCACCTATTTTAGGTGGCGTATATATCTACCTTTACTACTAATAATATTTTAAGCAGTTTTGCAGCTACTAGGCTTTATCCCTACAATTCTAAAGTTATACTTAAATAGTTTAAAACTACTATATTATAACAAGATAACAACTTAAAAAGTAAAGAGGTAGAAGATAGAGATAGCTAGCGTACGCTGTTAAGATTATTTGACGTTGTGGTACTAGATAGGTTGATAGCTGCAGCTAAAGAGCTCCGCTAGGCTCTACATTCTCTGCAGGTTAATAACAAGCTTCTCTACGTTAAGATTAACAAACTTCGTAGTAAAATTGCTACTAAAAAATAAAGGCTAAAGCATAATAAAGTTCTTAACCTTTAACAACACTAAGAGTACTAGAGTCTAGCGGTAGTGTAGAGCCCTTAGGCGGTACAGGAAGCTTAAGCGCGTTAGGCTGTACAACACTAAAAAGAAGAGGCAGAAAAAACTCTAAAAAAAGAGAGAAAAGAGATACAAGAAGCCACTACCTAGTATAAAAAACAAATAGCTATAAAGGTAAAATAGGCGCAGGAAATTGCAAAAGTTGCCTGCGAGAAGGAACAAACGGCTAAGGCTACACAACTTGCTACCGCGTGCGCCTAAAAAGAATAAGATTAGCTTGCTATAATAATAAAAAAATCTTACAATAAGTAAAGTACACTTAAATAAAAGGCTTTATTGTCGCAGAATACAAAAATAGCAAAACGTCGTCGTGTGGTAGGCTGCGAGAGTGGTGATAGAGTTGCACCACCGCCCGCCAAGCCCTCCACCAAAACCACCACCCGCGGCCGCAATATAAAGTTACCAGCGAAATATATATAGACGGAAATATATATTACTACTTGCTCAATACTCCACCAGAAAATCTCGTGATAATAGCTTTTGTATGGGGCTCTATAGCCTCATCTTTGGTGGAGCACCAATTTTGGTGGGGTGTTGCATCCGCTGAACAGTTGCAAGCACTGACCACCTATGTACAGTATCTTGAATGAGTTGCGCATGTACCTGGGGGGGCTTGGATCCGGATATCCAGGCGACATCCTCGGAACAAGGACCACGGCCCGTGGAACCCCGCACAATACTCCTTTGATTGGCGGTGAGATGGCTATCGTAAGCCTAAGCAAATCGTCCATTGCTGGAGCGCGACTCAATTTGTTGATGTACATACTCTCTTTCATTCCTTTGATCTATCCATTGATCGCCGGACAATCTCCAACTTGCTCGTCCTGATTGACCGTGCGCATTCCGTACTCCTACGCACCATGCCTCTGTCCTCGCCTTTCCCCAACTTGGATATCCCCAAATGCAACATCGTGGACTATCTGTTTCCGCCTGGAAAAGTTCCATCTGACACGCCAATTTGGATTGATTCGAAAAACACACAACAGTACCTCACTCCACGTGCATTGCTACAATGGTCCAAGCGATTGGCGGCAGGCCTCGAAACCGTGAGCCAGCCTGGAGAAGTTATTCTTATATTTTCCCCCAACAATGTCTTCATTCCCGTTGCATATCTTGGAATTGTGGGATCCAAGCGCATCTTCTCTGGCGCGAACCCAGTCTACACTCACGAGGGTATGGATTGTGCGACAAATAAAGCAGAAGGAAGTACTTACTGACCGCTCTTAGAAATGGTACATCAGATCACCAACACCAAAGCTCAGGTAATTCTCGCGCATCCCAGCCTAGTCAAAGTAGCGGTAAAGGCTGGAAAGGCCGCATGTCTTCCAGAAGGCCGTATCTTTCTTTTCTCGGATGAGCCATGTGCGCCGGCTGAAGGTTGCCGAGACTGGAGAGATGCGCTGGCGCCAGAAGCAAATACGTACAATTTCCCCAAACTATCAGAACATGAATCAACTACCACCACTGCCACATTGAACTATTCTTCTGGCACCACCGGGCTTCCCAAGGGCGTCGAGGTCAGTCACCACAATTTAATCGCAAATTGGGAGCAAACCATCTTCATCCGATATCACAACAAACCCTGGAAGGCTCACACACGACCTGTTGAGAAATGGGTTGGATTTCTCCCTCAATACCATGCGTATGGCCAGCTCTACATTGGCATGGCTCAAAAGCTTCAGGTACCATGTTACACTATGAAGAAATTCGAGTACCCTGATTTCCTCCGGGTCATCCAAACTCACAGGATAACGCACCTCCAAGTGGCCCCTCCGATCATGGTCATGTTGAGCAAGAGACCGGAGACTGCGAATTATGATCTCAGCAGTCTCACAGATATCTTGTGCGGCGGAGCACCGCTGTCCAAGGAACTTCAAAATGACATTACTAAAAAGCTAGGATGTGAAATCACCCAAGGCTGGGGAATGTCAGAAGTAACCTGCGGACTGATTATGGTCACAGGCGGCACAAAGGATGAGTGAGTTGAGCCTGAAAATCTTTTTTCGAAACTACTGACACAAAACAGTTCTGGAAGTATAGGCGAAATCATGCCAAACTGCCAAAGCAAGCTTCTGGACGACGAGGGCAACGAGGTATCCGATGGCGAGCCCGGCGAGCTTTACGTGCGTGGTCCAAACGTGTTTTTGCGATACTGGCAGAATCCCGAAGCCACAAGAGAAGCACTATCCCCTGATGGATGGCTAAGAACCGGCGACGTTGCCATTGTAAGAAACGGACGGTTCTGGATTGTGGACCGCAAAAAGGTAACTTAGCCCCCCAGAAGCAGTGTTTTACCAAGACAACATACTAACACAGCCTAGGAACTTATCAAAGTCAACGCACTGCAAGTTGCGCCGGCAGAACTCGAAGCTGCATTACTCCAATTCGATCCCATTGCCGATGCAGCTGCTGTCGGCATCACGATTGACGACCAGGAATGGCCTCGAGCGTATGTCGCGCTCAAGGACGAGTACAAGGGCAGGATCACTGTCGAAGACATTCACAAGCACATGAATGCCAAAGTAGCTAAGCATAAGCAACTTGTGGGCGGCATTGTATTTGTAGATGAGGTTCCCAAGTTGCCCTCGGGCAAGATTGTGCGGAAGGTTGTCAAGCAGTGGGCTAAGAGGGACGCGGAGAACATGAAGAGGGCTCGACTCTAGATTGTTGTAGAGTCATTAATTACCCGCGACAGCGTGAAGTTTTTTACATGAGCTTCAGAACCCGCAAGTGTATTAATTGATATGTTACCAGTCTAGCACATGAGCAAGGCTTGCACTTACAACTGCATGATTAGATCCACACCTGGTATCCAAGACTCCGAATGCATCTAGTCCATCTACCATGGCCTCAAAATACAACAACTTGCCTCTTCTCAGCCTTTCCTTGCTGCATCTCCTCTACCATCCGCGGCAAGTCCTCCAGCGTGCGATACTCCACCTCAGGCTGAATTCCATGCTTGCCCGTAAAATCCACCGCCTTCTGCATCCTCTGCGGAATCCCCGTGCTATCAGCCTTGATTCTATACCTCCCCGTCGTCAAGTCAAACGTGTTGATGAAATCCAGGCCTTTTGGCGCAATCCCGATAACCATGAGCAAACCCCCTGCACGCAAGAGGTTGGGCGCACCGGCATACGCGATATTGGAACCAGAGTAGACGGCGGCTGCATGGCATCCTTTCCCATCGGTGAGTTTCTTGATGTCTTCGATGTAGTTTGTGTTGGTTTTGGAGTTGAAAGTGGCATCTGCACCGAGTTTCTTCGCCATGGCGAGCTGAGAGTCGTTGATGTCGAGGGCAATGGTTTTGATGCCCATCTGTCGTCCCGTCAAGTCAGTATGAATGAACTCCCCATTCTCACGCTTTGACTGGAGGAGAGAGGAACAAAACGAAATACGGTGAGAAACAAAACATACCGCTTTAGCATACTGCACAGCATACTGACCCAACCCACCACACCCCACAACCGCCAACCACATACCCGGCTCCAACTCGCAACTATCCACACTATGAAACGCCGTGATGCCCGCACAAAACAAGGGCGCCGCCCTCCTCATCTCCAGGTTCGCAGGCAACTTGACTGCATTCTGCCATTCGACAACCGCGTACTCTGCGAAGAAGCCGTCGACCCCGAAACCCTGCACCTTCTGGTTCCCTGTCTCGCACTGTAGATTGTGGACCTGGCAGCCGCCACATGTGAAGCAGCATCCGGTGATGTAGTTGAAGCCGATTGCATCGCCGATGGCGAAACCGTGGTCTGAAGCTTCTGCGCCCATCGACTCAATGTGGCCGACACCCTCGTGGCCAATGGTCACGGGGCGGTCGGAGTCTGGGCGCAGGTTCATGCCGAGGTCTGAGTGGCATAGCGATGCAGAGTGGATTTTCACGAGGAATTGGTGGGGTTGTGGTTCTGGTTTCGGGACGTCGTTGATCACGACTTTTCGTTGTTTCCTGGGATACCGCTTAGCGCTCAGATGGTTGATATACCTAGCGTGTTGCGAGAGAGACTTACGGATCCCATTGGCCGGCTTTCATGGTTGCAACTGGCTTCCTTGATCTTCTAGTGGTTGGGCTCTTGTTGCGTTGAGCACTGTGATGGTTTATATAATGGTACTTTCAATCATGCCCTTTGTGTCTCATCCACGTAATCAGACATTTATGCTACAAATAGTACACGAGTCGGGGATGGTAGTCCGAGTCATTGCACTGACTTGGAATAGCGTGGCCTGGCTGTGCGTGTGTATAGTCTTGAACCGGAAATGCAGGATCGACATGGTTGGATGGAAGCATGCAGCTGGCCAAGGTGCGGGGGAAGTAGAAAGCGGGGTTTGAAGTTGTACGAATGCTCTCGCATAGCAGTGTGGCTGAACCCGCTATTGATGTGTCAAGAGGTGGTGCATGTGATATATTAATTGTGGAAAACCTGTATTTGCATTGCCACAGATCAAGGAAGCATTGCTTTCCAGCTATATGGAGTCGCTGATGTTACTGCATTGTTTTAGCAACAATCAGATATATGGATATCTAGGCTAGCAAGAATTTCACTCCTTCTGCCATTTTGCTGAAGAACTGCTGCTTCGGCTCATCCAGCTTTGTCGATGGCCAAGCCATGAAGAAGTGCGGATAGCCTTCATACATGTCGAATTGATTGGGTACACTTGAGGGAGATCAGCAAACCGACTTCATAAGAAGGGCTTTCAATACGTACCCTGCCTGATCCAGCTTCTCCTTCATCAACACACCATCAACTCTCAATGTATCAAGTCCAGCAACAGCCATATACACGCGCTTGAGATCCTTGATTCGCGGATGTAAAAGAGGTGAAGCATACGGATCAGTTGGCGGTGCTCCAAAGGCGTCTGTCTTATTATCAGTATATTTAATACTGAAAATTCAACGCTCAACTTACCCCAAAACTCTCTCATTGCCCGTGCCGTATTGAGAGTGAGCCGGTCGTATCTCTCCATGGCCGTATACCTCGCCTTCAATTCGGCCGGTACCCCATCTGGATGCACAGTAGCAGGTATTATACCCAGTACACCAACAAGTTGATCTCCGAGTCCCTCGTCCACAGCCCTCAGCGCCGTTCCAAACGCAATCTGCCCCCCAGCCGAAACTCCAGCAGTGAGAAACTTGCTTTGCGCGGTGTTCAGTCGCTGCGAGTGCTGCAAGGCCCATTGCAAAGCGTAGAAACATTCATCCATCAACCCTGGATGCGCATTTTCAGGCGCAAGCCCGTACTCCACAGACACAACGACAATGCCACCGGCCTTTGTAACGGCTCTGCTAAACCCATCTTCACCGTTGATGTCGCCCATGGCCCAGCCTCCGCCGTGATAATACATGCAAACCGGCCGGCCTCCTATGTAGCCATCAGGCGTATATATGCGGACTTTTGTCCCTTTATCAGTTGCGGTATCTTCTGTTTTGACCGAGGCATCAGGCGCAGGAAAAGTGTATTTCGATGCCATTAAGCCGCCGTACCCCACAAATTGCTGCTTCATGTTTGCGAGTGGCGGCTCCAAGAGCATACGCTCGCCGAATTCCTTTTCGAACTAACATATGGAGTGTTATCGAATGCAACTTTAGATGGTTTATTTCGTACAAACCTCCAGCCATGGCTTCGCAAATCCCTCGTCAGTCATTTTTACTTGAATTGGGTATTGTGTTGTCGCGCAATGAGGTCCATTGGGGGTTTCGTCGAAAGATGCATGATGCCTGTAACGCAACAATCGTTACACTGAGCGTTGTCGTCATGCACGAGGCCAGAATGAGCAGCCTCCGTATCCCCGTCGTGTGGGCTGGAGTGGGGCGCCATTCCTCCACACGCTTAAACAACTCCGGCCCCCCACGGGAACTCCAGACGTCGCCTCGGCTCGAGAGACGACGCGGATCGCTAACGCGTCTGTCGGCATGCGAGTCATTATGGTCATAGTCATGCATCCCATGACTTGACTGTCTTGTTGTCGTCAGTATCATTCACGTATTCCGTCACGTACTCGCACCTGGGATCCTGTTCGCACCACCCTTGCTCATATCCACCATGGACATCGACATCAATACTCACCCGGTCTTTTCACGCATACCGCCGTGGGTCAAGGCCAAGCTGCGTCCGATTGCAATCTCGAAAATACACCAAGTGTACGACTGGGTTGAGAATGAGTGTATACCCGCTGAGCGCATATACAAAGCGCAGCTCAGTCAAAGCAAGACAAGATGGGAAACACCCGCCATCATCCACGAGCTGCGCAAGAAAGCCAAAGCCCAAGGGCTCTGGAACTTGTTTTTGCCCAACCACTTTGTTGAGAGTCCCGGATTGACGAATTTGGAGTACTCTTGCTGCGCCGAGATAATGGGGAAAGTGTACTGGGCCGCGCAGGTGAAGCTTTCTCGATCGTCTTCCGCATCTACAAGCGGCATGGCTGACTTGCTAGGTAGACGATGAACTGCCACGCCCGGAAACAGGCAACATTGAACTGCTAGCCAAATACTGCACACCAGCACAGAAGGAAAAATGGCTGTACCCGCTGATGAACGGCGACATGTCTTCCGCCTACAGCATGACGGAACCCGACGTAGCCTCCTCAGACGCCACCCAAGTCGGCATCAAGATGGACATTACCGAAAACGAAGTCATAATCAACGGCCGCAAACTCTACGGCAATTGCCAATACAACCCGGAAATGCAGCTCTTCATCCTCATGGGCTGCTCGGATCCGACGAATCCGAATGCATGGAACAGACACACGACGCTTGTGGTGCCGGCGAACAGCCCTGGGCTCAAGCAGATCCGGAACTTGAGTATCATGGGCTACGACTGGGCGCCGGAAGGCCACGGCGAATACGTCTACGAAAACGTGCGGGTGCCGCGAGAAAACATCATCATGGGGCCTGGACGCGCTTTTGAAATCGCACAGGGGAGACTGGGTCCCGGGCGCATCCACCACTGCATGCGGCTGATCGGGCAGGCCGAACGCGCGTTTGAACTCGCGCTCGTGCGGTGCATGGAGCCGCGCAAGAAGCCGCGGGGCAAGTTCATCGGCGAGTTTGACAGCAACATTGAGCGCATTGCTGATATGCGCATGACAATTGATGCAATGCGCCTGGTTGTGCTCAACGCGGCTGATACCATGGATCTCCAGGGCAACAAGGCGGGTAGATACGCTATTGCGCAGAGTAAAATCATGGTGCCCAATGCCCTGCTCAAAGTCATCGATGAAGCCATGCAGATATATGGTGGCCAGGGATTAACCCAACATACACCTTTACCCGAAATCTGGACGTATGCGCGCTTCGTGAGGGTCGCCGATGGACCGGATTCGGCACATAGGCATCAGGTTGGGCGCGATCAGATGAAGACTGCGAGTGAGTTTAGAGAGAAGGCGAAAGGATATACCGAGAGGTATAGAGAGTTGTGCAAGAAGTGGGGATTGAAGCCTGAGGAATTTGAGGGAGTATTATAGTGGTCGTACGCTTCTTTCCTGTATCAGACCAAGTAATAGTAGAAGAACTGTGCGATGCTATTGCGTAATCTATCATCAGAAGGAGAGAGAAAAGGGTATCATATCCAGGGCCCAGACCACCTACTCATCGTGACGTAAATTGAACACGTCCAAGTCATTATTTATACCGCTACCGGCGGTGACCCAAAGCTCAAATGTCGTCATCGTCGAAGAAAGAGGCCACTTGTTGAGTTGACAAGAGAAAGTCATCAAACGTGAATTTGGCTACTGTCACAGTAGCCGTCGTCGAAGATAAGGCTGGGTACAAGTCAACCGTGCACTGCCTTTTCGTTGGCCCTTGAACCTTAGATGGGGCTGCAGTGGCTCTTCGCTTTGCGCCGTGTCCGGACATTGATTTGGGTAGTTGCGAAGCTCTGAGCTTTGCAAGTTCAATGTCAAGGCCTGTGGCAAAAGGACCCGGGTTCAAGCACCTGCCGGCTATTTTCTTTGTGGACAGTACGGGCCTGCTACTATCCATGGATGCAGAAGAGCGTGCTGGTGTCCGCGTCATTGCAATGTTTTCGCGTTTTGATGGCCCGAGTATTGGTCTTGCGGGTGGTAATGTGGGCACCTCCTCAGTCTGCTTGTACGTTGGTAACGTCTTCGCTGGGATAGACTTCGTTGGTGCCTTTGGTGCGTCAGAGACAGCATGTTCCGGCTCTTCATCCAGGTCATCGAGAGAAAAGTCTAGGTCTTGCGTAGACACTGGCGAGAGGCCATTGGCCATCGTGAGTGGCGCAACGCTAGATGCATTCTCAGACTCGACAACTTTGGCAGTTCCTTCAGAAGCAAGTTGACGCGATATTTGTGTACTGCTTTCGAGAAAGTCATCCCAGCAATCCACTGATGAAGACATCAACGAAGATGCTTTCGTGGCCGACATATCCCTCGACGGATCAGGAGAACTCGACTTCGACGCTGGAAGTGTAGGAAGCTTGAATTCTGGAATCGGATTCGCTCGAGGCTTTGCATTTGTAATGGGGAGAGTCGGTTTCTTCGGAAAAGCTGCAGGCGGTACTCGACCTGGAACGGACGGTAACTTGAATCCAACTTGCGATGTCTCCCGAGGCACTTTAGATGGTGCATAGTCGGTTGCGACACGGATAGCAAACTGCAAGCGCTGGAAAGGATGCCGGTCCAGGTTCTTGTATTTGGCGGAGAAGGGCATCCGGGTGAGGAACGTTTTGGTACCTTCCAACTGTCCATCTAAGACAAGACACTCCAATCGATCATTCTCAGATCGCAGAACACGAAGATGTTGGCTTTTTGATACTTGGCTGCTTGTGTTCAAATCTCTAAGCAGAGTTACAACACAGCCAACTTTGAGGCGTAGGCGATGGGGTGGTAGCCCAACGGGATTTAGTTTATGCAGTAACCCTAAGGCAGGATCCCAGTCGGGGATTTTCAATGAGACATCTTGGGAGAGAAGTTCTATCACAGGCGCAGGTAACTTGTCAAGTATAGCCTCGACTACTTTGTTAACGGGGCCGTGAGTGCGGGTGAAGTCAGGGTCGTCTTTGGCGGGAATAGGCTTTGGTGGAATCGGAGCGATGGACGGAGCAAGCGCAGTGTGATTGACGGGCGCTTGGCAGGGCTGTACAGCGACTGGAGGCTCTTCAACTGAATCTGACATGACTAGATCGTGTGCCTCCAGGAGAGAATCATCGTCTAAGTCGTCATCCGGCCACTGCTCTCCCAGCGACGGTTTCAGCTCAGGCAACTCAGCCGCCATGTCCTCGTCGTCATCATCCCACGGCTCCTTTTCAACCTTCTCCATGATTTCTTCAAACCTCTTTGTGAACTCTAACTCCTTCCTACGCTTCTCTTCCTCTTTCTTCTTGGCCAATCCTAGGAATGCTTCCATTCCGCTCTTGAGCTGCGCCTGCGTGTGGCTATATCCAATCAGCTGCGTTGCCAGCCCGACACCAAGCTGCTTCCTTGCCGCCGCCTCCTTTGCTTCTTTCTCCTCGCGCCTCTTCTTTGCGGCTTTGCGGCGCTCTTCGGCCTCGCGAGCGCGGGCAGCGCGCTGGTCTAACACGACCTCTCGCTCCAGTTGTTTCTGCTGACGCTCACTGAGGCGAGAGCCATTTTTGCGATGCTGCTTCTTGAGTTCCGTCGAGGTTTGCGCGATTCGGTGCGGGGTTGGAGGCATGGCGGGTTGCGCATGGTGGAGGTGAGGGGATGTGCATGTGTGGTGGCAAATGATTTACACAGCCGCGCTAAGAACACGAAGTCACGTGCACTACAACAGTTGCGCGCCACCAATTTACCATCTTCTCTTTGTCTTCTTCCTAGCGGGAATTCCACCCAACATGCCGTCCAAGCACGTGTATCCAGGCTAATTCAGCAATCTTGTTGCGCAACGGCCACACTAGATACTAGGCGAGCCTACTGCGCCTCTCCTGTGCATGGCGAGCTCGCCCAATCTCAATTAAACTTGAGCGATTTTCTCCGTCTCACCCGTTCATCTTCCGCGCTTCTCCCAGTTCATTTGTATTCAAAAAAGGCCGTATAGGTCATAGACCTGACTCAATCCTGCTCATCATCATTGTCAGGAAAAGCAAATCCGGCTTCCGCGAAGCACGCCTGACCCCGCGCACGAGCCTTTCCTGTAACACCGCCATATGGAGAATCGCTGCACCCGTAGCTTCCGTAATGCTGGATTGATCCAACAGCACATGTTGTGCCAAAAATAGTCAAAAAATCGAGCACATTTACACGCGCAAGAATTCAATACTCAAGAAAAGCATATCATCTGTAGCTCACCATCATATCTTACCCGTTGCCATGTCTTTCACCCTGAAGGGAGTTGCATACATTACCGGTGCCGGCTCCGGTAGGTCCAGGCAAAGCGTTGGATTGGTTCTCGGCATAGTTTCAACTGACTCAAGCAAGGCATTGGACAATTCACAGCATATGCTCTTGCAAGGCAAGGCGTACGATCATTTGCTTTAGTCGACCGCAATCCCTGTTCGACAACAGTCAGCGAACTGAAGAAGATCTCAACTGAGATCTCAGTCCAGTCTTTTGAGCTAGATGTTACGAGCGAAAAGGCAATCGACGATAGTGTCAAAAAGACAGTCAAAGAATTTGGACGACTAGATTATGCGGTCAACAACGCGGGCATAGGCGGTCCCATCAAAACATCAGACCAAGTATCCAAAGAAGACTTCGAAAAGGTTCTTGCTGTGAATACGACTGCAGTGTGGCAATGCCAGCGCGCCCAAATTCGCCAAATGCTGAAACAAGAGAAAATGTCGGACTCGTACCGGTCTTATCGTGGATCCATTGTCAATGTGGCGTCCATGTATGGCCTGGTCGCACCACCGCTCAATGTCCCAGCAACCTCATACGCTACAAGCAAACATGCAGTTGTTGGCCTGACCAAAGCAGATGCGCTTGCTTTCGCGCATAAAGGCATCAAAATCAACGCAATAGCCCCGGGCTATGTGCTGACGCCTCTGGTCCAGAAATCCATGAGTCAAGGCGACATGATAGAGACGGAAAGAATGAAAGTTCCCATCCATCGCTATTCGGAGATGGAGGAGATTGGCGATTGCATAGCGTTTCTGCACTCGGACGCGGCTAGCTACATGATTGGCGCCACCTTGGTGGCTGACGGCGGATACAGTGTCTTGTAATCATGTACGAATTCACCTATTCCTAAACCGGTACACACACTTTTTACACCTGTCCTGCGACAATCCTCGGCCAACGCTTCTTCTCCGCGGTCACTTTTACACTGCCCATCATGCGGTAGTGAGACCTTAGGTGAAGTCTTCTTGGCAGAACCCCATTCGACTGGGTATATTGAATCCCCCGCTTTTTACATGGATAGACTGACATGGCCTAGCCCTGAAGCGTCAGGTGAATGAATTCTTGATTGCGCGGCTGCGGAAACCGTTTACCAGACTGGGCATCGTGCATAGTTACGCACGGCTGGCTGTCAGCACGACCCGTCTGCACGATCCGATGCTCCAGTCAGATGCCAATTGTGCTAAGCCGGACCCCAGATTTGATATTCAGTGCATCTGACTCGCATCGTGGAGAAAATGAGTCTACACTGACTCTGCGAGACTACAAGGACACTGTGCTGACGTACAGTACAATGCTTTAATACCCTGTATGCCTTGTAATCTCTACCTCGTCGGCCTTTTTCTCTCCAATTCTCTCATTTTCATAGTTGAACAATCTCTACAAAATGGCAGACGGTTTCATCGTTCCCTCATCAAGCAGACCCGAACTGGATGCCCAGCGTCGGTTGCAAGGCCCAATTCATGCACAACGCCATGTGCGCGTCGTGTGCATCGGTGCCGGTGCCTCTGGCCTTTTGATGGCATACAAGCTGCAAAAACATTTTTCAAATTACAGCCTCCAAGTCTACGAGAAGAACCCAGAGGTTTCTGGTACTTGGTTCGAAAACAGATATCCGGGGTAAGTATCGGCTAAGCAACTGGCTGTGGGGATGGGGACGAGACCACTTTTACCCCACACTCAGCATTTACCGAGCCGGCCACGGTGACGTCGCACCTTCAATGCACTGTGCTGACCTTGCTTTGCAGATGCGCGTGTGACGTCCCAGCACACAACTATACGTGGTCATTTGAGCCCAAACTCGACTGGTCTGCCGTCTACGCTAGTTCAAAAGAGATATACACCTACTTTAACGACTTCGCGCACAAGTATGGCCTCCACGAATACGTAAAGACTCAACACCAGGTCATCGGTGCAACCTGGAGCCAGAAGGGTGGGTACGATGTGCAAGTCAAAGACCTCAGAAGTGGCCAGATTGTGAATGACCATTGCGATATCTTGATCAACGCTGGAGGCATATTGAATAACTGGCAGTGGCCAGCCATCCCTGGTTTGGATAAATACAAAGGCACATTACTCCACACGGCAAACTGGGACGACAAAATCGACTTGACAGGCCGGAATGTTGGTCTTATCGGGAACGGGTCAGTCTTCTCTCATTGAACTATTCAGCATATACTGACAATTTCACAGCTCGTCCGGCATCCAAGTGCTACCCAACATCCAACCATACGTCAAGAAAGTCACAACCTTCATCCGTGAGCCTACTTGGGTCTCTCCCGTCCAGGGTCTTGAGCAGCACGTCTTTTCCGAGAGCGAAAAATTAGAATTCGCCGCTAAGCCCGGTGTACTTCTCGAGTACCGCAAGAGCGTCGAGCGAGGCCTCAATGGCCAATTCGGCATCTTCCTCAAGAACACAAACATCAACAACGAAACAGAAGCCTACTTCCGGGAACAGATGGCAGAAAAATTGGGGAACAAAACTCTCCAAGAGCAACTCATCCCAGATTGGCATGTCGGCTGCAGGCGGCTAACGCCCGGCGTGGGCTACCTCGAAGCCCTTGGCAAACCGAATGTGCATACAGTATACGGTGAAATCAACGAGATAACTGAACGTGGCTGTCTGTGTGACGACGGCAACGAGTACCCCGTTGACGTGCTCATCTGCGCCACGGGCTTCAACACATCGTTCAAGTCCCGCTTCCCCGTCATCAACCCCGCCGGTATCAATCTCCAAGATGCATGGGCCAAAGAGCCTCGCTCGTACTTTGGTCTTGCCGCCGCGGACTTTCCCAACTATCTCGTCTTCCTCGGCCCCAACTGCCCCATTGGCAACGGGCCTGTCCTCAGCGCGATCGAAGCACAGGCCGATTACATGTGCAAGCTGATCGACCGCTTCCAGACACACAATATTTCGACGTTTGCACCCAAAGCCGAGGCCATTGACGACTTCATCGCTTTCAAGAATGAGTTCATGAAGAAAACCGTCTGGGAAGACTCCTGTCGCTCGTGGTACAAGTCGCTGGGTCCAGACGGCCCTGTCACGGCCCTCTGGCCTGGCTCAACGCTGCATTACATGGAAGCCCTCATGGAGCTGCGCCTCGACGACTGGGACGTAAAGTATACCGGGAATCGCTTCAACTGGCTCGGTAACGGCTATTCGCAGACGGAAATTGATCCCACGGCTGACTGGGCCTTTTACGTCCGGGATCGTGACGATGATGAGCCCATGTCGAGGCTGAAGAAGCTGCGCATGATCAATATGAGCGGCACCATAACGAGCAACACCGGTATAAACTTTTCCGGAAAAGATGGGGAGACACATAAAAAGCAGTTGGAGTCGAGGCTGTGAGATTTGCAGTCTTGATTGTAACGGCTCGGAGGTTTTTGTGCTCTCATTTTTATGGCATTTTCTTATTATAGTTGGTTAGAGGTGTAATGACATGAGATGTTAGCAAGATCAAAAACACTAAGGCAACAGTTACAAATAAATAGATGTAGTACATCAGAAGGAAATAGGCAGAATAGCTAAGTCAAGAACAAAGGGTGCTGAGATATCTCCATACTTATGCTAAAACGTTCTACCATCTAAGCAACCACCTCGCTGTTTAGAGCACCAATCTGTAAAAAGACATGCATACTTTTTCAAGGAGTTGCTAGAATCATTGTTCCTGCATATGTACGACCAGTCTAACATCAAGAAAAGCAGCCTAAGAAAGGGAAAAGAAGGGTCCTAAATAGTTGCTCAAAACTATATCTAGGCTTCCAACATCTCTAATCCTATCTATTCATAACAGCGACATCCTCTAGGTGTCTAAACAGCAATTTTTAACTATACCAGCAGTAAAGAGTTGGAATAGTGAGCTATCCACCGATCATAACATAATGGCATATTCTACAGCACATCCAAAACAGATCCATATAGTGTAATCTCAAACACATACCGCCACATACGCCAACCCTCCCAGCACCGCCTCTCGGTCTCATATCCAATCTTCAAAGTAGCATACGAGCTAGATTCTAATGCAACCAAATAAAGCACGCGAGGCCCAATGACACTATCCGTGCTACCGTAAGGTTAGCGCTAACCCGCGTCCGCTCCCGCACATAACAGCGCCGTTTATTTTCCGAGCCACGCGTGAAATACGTCGGATGCCTTCGCTACCAATGTTTAGATTTGCATGGGCGTGTATGGAAATTTCGGGCTTCTGGAAGCCTGGGTGTGGCGTCGTGGCTGCGCTTACGCGTGGGATTGGGTTTATACGGTGGGACTGTATAGCTTGGGGTCAGAAGCAATGGTGTTGATGGGGAGAGTAGTTTGGGCAAGGTGTGCATAGATTGATTGTTGAAGTAAGGCTTGCGCTCGTAGGAAATCGTGCGAAGAAAGAGGGTGAGAATTCGGGGGGTTAGGAATATATGGTTGAGAAGTGCTCTCTAGATTACAATTATGTTACATCCTATGTCTAACTATCAATTAAAATGCCTACTTACCTCCCAGATCACCACTCCCTTCGCCAACACCAAAGACATCATCGTAGCCCTGCACAACCACGACCTCACGATCAAAACTATCGTCGTAAATTCCATCAACTCCAACTTCGTACATGGTCACAAAGCCGCCACAGCGATATAAACCGTCACCTATAAAAAGCCCGGCAGCCAGGTACACTTAATATCCCTATTCCCTTTGATCGAGCACTGATATGTAACATCCTCCGGACTACGTACTAGCTTATCATCACCAGCGTATACGGGAGCATCGACACCGTCGTTAATTTCAAACCTCGTGTCGGCACGCTCAGTATCACCGGCAAGTGACGCATCGTTGGTAGGGTAGCTGAGCGAGGACGTTAAAATTGACGCAAACTTTGTGACAAGAGAAGGTAGCAATGCTTCTGATTTTACAGCATGTGTATGAGCACCTAGAATGATGCTGTGGGGAGAATCTCCAATCGACCAGAGAGGTGTTCCGAGTATCGCCTATCCGGCTAGCTGTAATTGGCGGGTAACCTTTAGCTTGGGGGTCTTGATATTGTACCCTGGATTAGCCAAACAACAGTGTTTTTCTTGATTGATACAAAGTTCCGTCAGAATCTTATTTGCAAGGAGGTGAAGTCGAAAGTTTGGTCTCTGCCAGAAACAAATTTTTAGATGGTATTGGAGGATGTATTTATTTTGTGTTACGAGGCAAGGGACAGCCTATGCCAAATCAGACGACGCGTATGAGGCTATAGGGGGATACGTAAGCAATGTAATAATAATATACACCTCTCCATATTCCATTTTCCAGCCTTTTGGCTCATTTTAATTTATTCCATTTCGATACAACAATGCATTAAGTCCCAGTTCATCGGCGTAGGACTCACAGTCTCCCCAAGAACACAGTGGCACTGTAGATCAAAGTTTCAGACTCTGACTCGCCCGGATTATGTGTTGAAGACATCCCCCCGGTCAACCTTTAATCTGATAGAACTATATCCGAGTTTCCAACCACTACATATGTGAGAGAAGAGGGACTGAATAAATTCTGCATCATGTATTTGGGCGCACTATGAGTCACTTCGCAGCTACGTAGCCACAACACTGTGCCTTAGTGCCATCATCCAGCAAACACCAGACATGTCTGACTGTGCCACATGACACTGCATCTTTGGAGTCAGTTAAATAAAGTTTGAAAAGTAAGGTAGACTGAGTCGTTTGTTCCGGGGTCAGTGTATGTGCAGGGACTCGCATCCCAATAACCCCACAAGGGTCTCTGATCACCATAAGAAAACACATAGATTAATAAACTCGTTGTCATTATTTCTATTTCGTGTATTTATAGCTTTGGAGTCCGGCGAATAGGTAAAGGAACATACTTGTAGCCCCACCGATCGGGGCGGGCCATAGTGCCAAGGCGCTACGAAAGAGATATGAGCGTTCGGCGTGCAGATAAGGCGCCGGTGGGGCAATATGCCCCTGATTCCGACATTTGCGTAGCCCACTGTGCCTAGCTAGCTGTTTTTGTCGCCGTAATTATTCAACAGTCACTTTTTTTTGGGAGCGGTGTGAGTGGTGCGGTCAAGGGTCCTTGGACATGATCATCAACATCATGCCGCTTCTGCAAGTCAAGTTCGAAATGAGTATTACTCTATTGGCTGTCTATTAAGTATCTATGTACAGCTTAATCGTGCAAGAGGGCTGGCCTGGATTTGCGCCACAACTGAAATCACATGACTCTTCTTTTCGCCCAAGTCATCATATGTGGAGGTCCAAGTCAACAATCTTATGGGGAGGCTCGGGTGAAGACTCAGGGGACGGGGACGGAGAAGACGAGGACTGCGGAGCAGTATCGTTTTGGGGGCGGCATCCAATACAGGTTGCCGGGTTGGGGTATCCCTTCCACAGGCTGCCCTCGGCGGGTATGCCGCCGTGGTCTGTCCACTGGTTGACAGGCGACGGGTCGAGCCTGTAAGTCGAGTTGATGCCGACATCAATTGTGCCGTAGAGACCGTCTTCGATTTTGTCGCCAATAAGCGAGAGCTGGATGTTGGGATTGTCGCCTCCCTTGAAACCCCAGACATAGAGGCCGTCGTCTTTGTTCAGGACGACTTTTTGTTTGTTTGTGTTGTAGGGGTCCGTCTTCTCAATCCGGTCCAACCAGTCCTGTTCAATGAAGAACTGACCGACGTGAGGGATTACGCCGCCTTCGATGGTGTTGTTGGGAAGGAGTTTTGCGCCCTGGTGAATGATGGCTAGAGCCGTCAGTAAACAGGGACAGAGAGGCAAGACGAGAATGATTCTTACTGTGCAGGTGGTTCGTACGGGCGACATAATGCCCAGGAACAACGGTAATGAACCTCGCGGTGCCGTTGGCGTCAGTTGGCTGAATGCCGCGGAGGGCATTCGAGGACAGGGACGAAGCTGAACCGTCACCGTTGACAACGGATTGCACACCAGTGTAAACACCAGTCGAGTTAGCTCCCCAAAGCTCTACGAAGGTATCGACGACGTGCGTGCAATCCGTAACGTCGATAACGTTGATGTCCAGGTGAAGCTTGACACCCGGCTCGCCTGTCACGATGTCCTGTCGGATGAGTTCGCCACTGACCCCTGGCAAAATGTTAGCTAGTCTGCGTTGGCACATTCCATATTTTCTTGAACTCACAGTAAGGGCCCTCGGTTTGCTCCTGATCGAGTGTTGTACATCCTTGCGCCGTCCTAGCATCTGGGTTGTAGAGCTGGGGCTCACGACGGGCCAATTCATCTCTCTTGGCAAAGCCAGCTTCAACCCGAAGCTCATTGAGTCTGGCTTCACGTCTCTCAAGATTTTTCCGGGCCCATCCACTCGCCTCGAGATCTCGCTTGCAGTCGAGCACGCTGCGGCGGTAGGGGTGTTCAAGATGGGCTCTCCTCCTTAGGATCTCCTTATTAACGTCACCGTGCGCGATGGCGCCAGTCGCTAGCAGTGCGGCCGCAAGAGCGTGTGTAAACTGAACCATGATGGGAATTTATATGTGGCGACCGGGAGACTTCTACCTGCCTTCTGGAACGTGCAGTGTACCCTACTCTTTATATACTCTCCCTGTAAAAGGGCGCAGCACAATTTCATGTACCATGGACATGATCTAGTGATTGATCTACCGGTTCGGGCTGTCTCTATTCCCGTTATTGCATTCGCTCAACAAGTGAAGCATGGTGCCCGTACGGACCGCAAGATGAGTAAGAGCTACGGTGTAGCTACGTAGATCATAGCCCTACGTATCCGTAATTCAGCTGACCTATAATATTTACCAATAACGTAAGAGTGACGAATGACTGGCTAGTAGTGTGAGTGAGAAACTAGACCGACCAATCCCTTTTAACTCATGATATCTCCTAATCTGACCACTCTATTCACAAACCCTCTTTACCTTGTTCAACGTTTTATATCGTAGAATATGAACTTGTTTTCGATTCCAGCAGCTCATCTTTGTCTTTGAAGAGGATTTTCCAGCTCTTCTTCATAGCCTTGGAAGTGTATTTACAATTAGGTTTGGTATCGCCCCACAGAGTAATGGGGTTTAGGTGCTTTTCTATAAGTCATGCTATTGTGGGGCCATGTCAGCATATAAGACCGGTGCTAGCTATTCGGGTAAGGTGGGCCTTGCACAATTTGGTGCGCGCCTCGTGTTGCGAGATCCGGCATGTTGATTACAATTAATTTATATAGGCGTACGGCGGTTACTCGCTCTAGTACATGTGGCGCAGCTCGATTGGAATTTACCTAAAATATGTACATGGTAGTGCATAGCATATAACGTGATATTAGTCCTGGTGTTGCGATAAGAGAGTACTATATGAGTAATATTCATCCATAACGTGTTTTACAAGCGAGAGCCGCACCCCACCAACTTTGTGCACCTCTCTCATCTCAATACATAATGGCTCAACGCAACGCTAGTCAGTTAGCTTTAAATGAAGTAGATATCTAGCTCGCTATATCCTCTATTGAATCTGGTTAGATACAGAGTAATCGCAGTGCTGCTGCTATCTATAACGTGTCAGAACGAACAATCCGCCGCCGACGCGTCGGCAAGCCTGCCCGACGCGATTGCCAGCCCAACTTAAAGAAGCTTACCAAGCTAGAAGAGCAGGTGATAATTGATCATGTACTTAATCTGGATCTACGTGGATTTTCGCCTACCTATGCAGCTGTGCGAGATATGGCTGATAGACTGCTGGCTGCGCGCGGCGCTGGCCAGGTTGGCGTCCACTGGCCGCGCAACTTTGTCAAGCGTACTGACAGTCTTACAACGCGTTTTAATCGAGCGTACGATAGGCAGAGAGCCTTGTGTGAAGATCCAGTCTTAATCAAGAGCTGGTTTGAGCTTGTGGAGAAGACAAAGGCTAAGTACGGCATCTGTGACGAAGACGTCTACAACTTCGACGAAGCGGGCTTTATGATGGGCAAGATCGCGACTTAGCTAGTCGTTACAGCGTTAGAGAGAAGAGGCCGGCCAAAGGCTGTTCAACTAGGTGGCCGAGAGTGGGTAACGTTTATCGCTAGGATCAATGCAGCTGGCTGGTCTATCCCACCGTTCCTTATCTTTACTAGCAAGCATCACCTATCTGCCTAGTATGAGGAGACAGAGATCCTACGCGACTAGGCGATCGCAGTTAGCGACAACGGCTGGACGACTAATGAGCTAGGAGTTGAGTGGCTAAAGCACTTTGTTAAGCATACGGATGGCAAGGTTGTTAGGGTACGCCGGCTGCTTATTCTTGACGGCCATGAGAGCCACTAGTCACTTGAGTTCCAAGAGCTCTGTAAGGCAAACAATATCTATACGCTCTGTATGCCGCCTCACTCATCTCACCTACTCCAGCCTCTTGACGTTGGCTGCTTCTCGCCATTAAAGCGCGCGTACAGCCGTGAGGTGGAGAGCCTGATACGCAACCACATCAACCATATCACCAAGCTTGAGTTTCTGCCAGCGTTCAAGGTAGCCTTCGATTGATCCTTCACGGCAGCCAATATCTGCTCAGCCTTTTAAGGCGCAGGCCTTGTTCCTTTCCAGCTAGACACTGTTCTATCAAAGCTTGACGTACAGCTGCGTACGCCTACTCCAGTAGCTGCTCTTGCAGAGGCCGTCTGGCAGGCTCGTACCCCAAGCAACGTACGCGAGCTTGAAGCCCAATCAACGCTAATACGTGATCAGGTCCAGCGGCATAAGAGCTCGTCACCAGCGTCAATTATTGCGGCGATTGGCCAGCTTAAGAAGGGGGCAGAGAGAATAATGCTCTCGGCTAAGCTAATGCGCGATCAGATCGCCAGCCTTAAGAGGGCTAACGAGGCAGCAACAAAGCGTAGGCAGCGTAAAAAGAAGCGGATACAGAAGCATGGAGTGCTAACAAAGGGAGCTAGAGAGGATCTACTTGCTCAGCGTGAGGCTAATCAGCAGATTGCTCATGAAGAGCGTCAGGGAGGAGAGCGATCAGGTGTCAGCCGCCAGGCTTTGGCGCGCTGCAGTAGGTGTAGAGAAACTGGCCACAACTCGCGTACGTGCAAGAAAGATACTCTAGGTACTGCTTAATCTATTATATTAATATACAGTAAAACAACTATATTGTGGTGGAACTACAGGCTTATAGAGGTGCGCAGGTTTGGTGGGGTGCGGCGCTCGCTTGTACGCGGCGCTCGCTTGTAAAACACGTTAGCGGAATTAGCCGTGATTACGGAAGGGAGTCTGCTTGTACCGTGCCGTTCATCTGAGCAGTAATCCGGGTTCATTGCCGAAAACTGGGGGATTTTATAGGGGGCCATGAAGCTATATAGATGCCTATTTCGTCTTGTGTTATCGGTCGTCGTGAAGCGGGGCTCTTAGTATCTCCAGTGAAAGGTCTTTGCGATTCGTCTAACCCTTTCCAGCTAGGAGAGGAATAGGAGGATGGCTAGGCTAGGCCATTGTGACACGTGCATCAAAGAACGACCGAGCCGTCAAGACCATTTGAAATGATGATGACAGGCGAAAACGGACCAGATATATGGGCTCATACGACGGCTTATTCAGTAACGGCAATTCTGTTTCACGCATCAGCCTCATGATGACAGCTGTGCTTGTCACGTCTGTTCGCATATCGGAAGAACACAGCAACTGGAAAACAAGGATACGAAATGATCCCGTCCTACTTGTCAATTTTATTTAGGTCTCGAAAGCAGTCCAATGGCAACTGTAACTCCATTTCTCGTATGCACAGACGTGCTAATGGACGATCTTCGCAAGCAATGAATGTTGAAACTTGTGTGGTATCCCCAATGACATCGCTGCTGGAGAAATCACCATGATCCTACTTTATATGGAGTTGCCCAGCTGGAAAATTCATATGAGCTTATTAAGATTGTAAGAGCCGCTCTTGCGGTTGACATTGCTCACGAAGGGATTGGTTGCTGATATAAGGGCAATCATTTTCCTCCCAATTTTCAGCGAAAGTCTGTTACCAGAGCTGGGTGTTGTTTACAGTCTTGTTTGGCGAGAGTAGAAAGCACTACGACTATCCAGAATGCTGTGCTTGGATGAGAAAAAACATGACATCAGGTATAATGCGTAGAAGGAAAGGCGTGCATCTGACAAAGCCGCCATGGAGCCTGTGCCTTTCTATCAGCATCACTCATAACTGCTGCATGTTTCCAGTAAACGTTGAAGATGTGCACCAACACATAGCTTCGCGACATCCACTGACACAGCCCGGTTCATGGTTTGCCCATGAAGTGATTACTATGAGCAAAACTGTATTCAGCCTTGGAAATCAGGCTAGCCCCACGACTAGCAATGCTATCCAAAGCAGCTTACGTAGATGTTTCAAAACATGGCCGGGAGGTGGGGCTCCATGGGTAGGATAGCAATTGAGTTTGTCATCAGTTGCAGTACTGCAACCGAGGTGCTTTATTTGGCAGTCCCAAAACCCGAGTAATGGAAGTAGGAACATGTTACGTGCGGGGCCGTGCTGACAAGGTTCAATCATTCGGTACGAAGAAAACTGCAAATGTTGCCAGAACATCTTGCAGTGTCTTGCCGATGAAGCGTAAAACAGGGTCTACTGATGGCATGAAGGACTAAGAAGGGTGTGGCGCGATGCGAAACAAAGCTTGACTTCCGCGGCCAATATTCGCCTGAGAATGTACTACCTTGATTCGGTGATGTATAATACTGGTATTACTGGTAATGCAAGGTATCAATGTTCTCGCCTACAGTGTATTGCTTGGACCCTTATATTGAAGCGCATGCGTCACTTGGCCTTGTTCTACCATGTGAATTGGCGTGATCCTAGTATTACGTCAGTGGATTTTTTCTTAGACAAACTCATGGATGGAATGAAGCCCCAAGATCAGAAGAAACTCTTGTGTGTCCCTCTGGGAACTTGTGCTACGCGTCCAGTAAATCTGAGCTCTGGGAAAACGGAAGGTTTGGTTGAGCGATCAAGCCACAAAGGCAAATCCAAGATTAGCATGCCAAATCTTGTCAAGAATGCCATCAGGGGTATGCGGATTGGGGATTTGGCGTGGTCTTGGCTCATGGTCAACTAAGAGTTGGCACTTTGTCAATGCTTCAACAGGCCCGATGTAGCCACTGCAGCTGAACGAATATTGCTCGCTTAGCCCTCAAATTATCACTACCACGAGGCAAAAGCAAAGACGACCTGTTCAGCTCTGGCAAAAGAAACGCGAGTGCACAAAAGAATGGTGAATGTGGAGGAGCGAGGCTTGCCCATGGGAATAGCCCTCCTTGCCCGACGCGACATAGCGTTGGTGCCGATTTGCCACATGGCTGGGGGCTAACTGTCCCTTTCTCGCTGACTGAAACATGATCACTCAACCACTGAAACGCACAACGCCAGGACCTCCCCGACACCAGCGTCTTATGCTGTTTTATCGACCGTGTCGCACACGCGGGATGGCGCTACGCGGTTGAGAGAAGCCTGACAACTTATGTCCAGCCAATAGCGATGCAGTCATTCACGCCGGCATCTCTTGGGGCCTTCGCCGGGAATGCCACAGCCGCCATGCTCATCACCAGCGCAATGGCAGCCGCGAGGCGAGCGGATCTGTGATCAATCTGACAATATTTTGCTTCTTTTCTGAAACCACAGGATGGGTATTGAGGCTGGTCAATAGCGACCTTCTTTTACTCGCACTGATCCCTCCTCTTTTCCGCTTCAGTTCCTTCATCATACACCTACGTCAACATGGCCACTGCAGCTGCTTTCCAAGATATACCCCATCCAGAGCATCACGGCTATATGGACGGCAGCCGATATTCCAGACACCCAAGTCACAAGGCAAATCTATCGGGTGTAACGATGCTGGACATGCTCAATGGCCCCGAAGGCTCCATTGCCTCTGCCTATCACACAGCAAATTCACGACATTCTTCCTCAAAGTCAACGCACCCCTCGCGCTCCTCGTCAACCAAGACTCAACTCCAGCAAACGAACCGCACACTCGTGGAAATGGTCCACAATTTCCAATCCGAACTCGAGATCCAGCGGAAAGCCATGATTGAGATGCAATTGCGGATCCTCCAGCTCGAAGGCGCCTTGTACAGCAGAAACATGGAGAGCGCGCAACGCGCAAAGCAGAACGCAGCAGCCCGCCAGGAGGAGGCGCAGCCCCCGAGTAAGAAGACGATGGCGACGACAACGACGACGACTCGAAAACCAGATGACAGAGCCCACCAGCAATCATGGAATACGCACCAGACACACGCACACGAGCTCGAGTCTTCCCCCACCAAGCCTGAGTTTTGGAAGTCACCTACTCGCTTCTCCGGTTTCAACTTCAACTTCGACTTGCTTGAGACGGTTCCTCAGGCTCCAGTTGCTCCCCACCCCGTGTACGACGACGCCCCAGAAGTGTGTCATATATCTCGGTCGACTCCCAAGCTGGTTCGAGACACGCGTAGCAAAGTGTCGCCACCGCCTGCTGCAAATCGCACGGCGCCCACTCCGAAAACTAGTACGCCGCCGGCCGAGACAGGAGGCCGCACGAGCATGTACCATGAGGCTGTTAGTAACATCAAGGAACATGTGGTGGAGTTTGAAAAGGTCAAGATGCCGTTTCCGCCTCTGTTGCACTCGCCGCCGCGAACTGCACGTGCCAGATTGGTCCACACGACGAGCAGAGACGACGAGGGTCTGACTGCGTTGCCGCGAATGCCGCCGCCACCGACGCCCGAGTCTGAGCCTGAGACCCCGCCGCGCGTGCGCAAGGGTATCAAGAGTATGTTGATCTACAGGACCATTTCAAAGAGCCTCAAGGCTGATTCAACGTATTCTCTTGAGCGACGCTCTAGCCGATGAGCACACGTTCCAACGTATCGGCCTTGCATTGACGAGCGACGTGGGTCAGAACAACAGCGGGAAGACTGTGCGCTGGACGGTTCGCAGGATATGAGGATGAACGACAGTGCAGTTTGCATGTGCATAGACTGTTTCATGAAGCGTATTTCAATTTTGTTGCTAATTCCATTTGCACGGTAATAGAGGAGGTTCAAGAAAGAGAGGAGTAGTGTACAGCTAATGTCGAAATACCAATGACACAACTTGCGTCAAGGAGAATAACTAAGCAGGTTATCCATAACCGTTATTCCCGTATATACATATCGTCTCACCCGAATCCTTCACTTCCTCCTGTTTTGCTGCATGCCAAGAATCTGCACCATTCGGATGAAGATGTTGATGAAGTCCAGTTCAAGCGAGATGGACTCGTTGACGGGATCCTTGGGAATCAAGCCACGCTCGGCCATGCGCGCATGGTGCAGCACCTTTTGGACGTCGTACAGAGTGAAGCCACCAAAGACGGCGAGGCCACCGTACAGCCAGAGATTCTCGGTAACCATCAGAGTGCGAGCAGCGGTCGCTGGGACGACCATGGGAGCAAGACCAGAGAGCGCGACAATGGCGACACCAGCAAGTAGCGGTCCGCCAAGGTACATGTACTTGTCAGTCTTTGCCGTGGCGCCAACGAAAGCAAGGGAACCCATCATTCCAACCGTGTACAGTCCGGCGCGTGCGAGGATAGCGGGGTGCATGAAGAAGAGTGGCGACAGCAGAAGAGCCTGAGTACCGTTAAAGGCAGTCCAGAATGCGTACTTTTGAACGTAGCTAAGGCTTGTCAGCACCTCCATGACCAATTTTGTTAATTACTGGTGAACACTTACTTGTTGGGGTTCGTTGCCATAGTGCCATACATGGTTCCAATGCTACCGACGAGTCCAACACCAAGTACAAGCCATGGGTTCGCGCTCATGAGCCTGAAGCTCCAGCCGTTCATGTGCAGGGCGCGCGCAGCAATACCAATCATTCCAATACCAAGGCCAGTGTGCATAAACGTGTCGTTGAGGTACTCGCGCTCAAAGGGCGGCATGCCGCCATCCTCACGTGTCTCGCGGTTGAAGATCATGTTGATGCCTAGAAGGGTTGCGCCAAAGATGCCAGCGCCGTAGAGCAGACGCTGGCGCAAGTCGCCCTGTGCCACGGGATTGTACGCAGTCTGCTGGTAGCCCCTCCGGAAAGCTTGCTGGAACCTGGATACATTTTGCGATGTCGATACCGTCGGCTTCGCACGACGGAAGAAGTGGGGATGTTGCTTGAGAGGCGTATTGTGGAAAGCGCGGATCGAGAGGGATTGCGGAGAATTGTGTGTTGCTTGTCGCAATGTCGCCGTGATGGCGAACGGCCTCCGTAGGAGCGAAGCCATGGTGTGTGAGTAGCCTTATGCGCTGTTGGTGGCGGCCAAAGGAAAGACGCGGAGGTGATGATATAGGCAAACGGGGTAAGTATGCATGGATGACGTTTTGCTGGTGGAAAGCGCGAGAAATGCCAAGCCGCGTTAACTCCGAGGGAACCTTCTGCCCCTCTTGGTCATCGCCACGGACGTAACGCAGAACGTCACTGACCCCAATCCTCAATGAAACACGGCCGCATCATTAATCGAGACTGCATATACCACCTTCCGTACATGACTCTGCATTCATTGCGGGACTATGCCATGCCGACACGAGGCTGGACAATCTGAGAACAGTCATGGCGACACCCTGCAGTCCTGTTCATTCATTTTCCTTACTCTTCGTTCTTAGAACATTACGAATGAGAAAAAAAATGCGCTGAAGCAAGCTTCTAACAAGTTTGCATTTCCTACTCGGACGGTGTCGACAAGGCTAGATCCTTGCTCAGCCATCATACCTTCACATGCACATTCTTGACTCCTCACGTTCGCAGACCATATTTTCGGCCGAACCTCTGGTTCGTTCAGTGAACTCCTATTTCCACCTTCAATCGGTAGAGCAGTGAAAATTATATAGACAATACATTCGACGCAATGCTCGACTGCACGGGACACGCAACTTCACAGTGTCGAGGCGGCCTCAGTATCTCGACCATGCGGAAACACCTGGGCAATTCTCCGTCTGGATGTTCAACCGCGAATTCGACATTCAACTCCAACCCTTACCAACTCCTTCACTAAAGGTTCATCAATGCCGGCTAGAGAACCGAATGACTGAACCTCGCCTCTCGGCAGAGACCCACAAACGAATAGAAGATCTGGGATTCGATCAGATAGGAGTTGACGGAAGCGTTCATGTCCAGGATCAGCCCGCCGATGATTCGGATACCAAACCTACTATAACCCCTACGGACCCTAACATCCTTAGCAGAAACGATCAGGAAGTGGCTGGTATTGATGTTTTCGATCCCCTCTCAAATCTGGACGCTGTACCTTGCGCACTGGGAGCGTCCCAGCCACCAGGTTCAAGGAATAACCCGGTCATTCTTGATGAAGATGATCATGATTTGAATACTCCTAATGTTGGTTCGCATATGCCTCAGCTACCGGCCACCGCTCTCCGCCAGAAAGACCAAACAAACCCAATTGACTCGCTCAACCTACAGCCTGAGCATACGGACTTGGTGAAATTCCGGCCCTCCCACGATGCCCGTAAAGCTGATAATGACGAATCTCAAGGATCTGGTCAGCCAGCACATTGGACCACGATGCAACCACCAGGCATGACCACCCTGTTTGTACTTGTTCCGCCACACTTTTTTCACCAGTTTGTATCGCAGCCTCTAGCACAATCTCAGGTCTTCCCAACAGCCTCGAAGCTTGGAGAGACAGGGAAAACAAGACAACAATCAGGAGAAGGTTTGTTTCTTGCATGACACATCGGGTTCCGACAACCGGCAGCTTCCCTCCTAATAGCAGCGCAGATACAATTATCACCTATTGCTCTAATGCAGAACCCTAGCGCAACCCAAGGCCCAGAAGTTATACCTATGCTCGCGGAACCTGTACCTCCACCTGCTCCTGCTCCTGCCCGACCTCCCCCAAAGCATGGCCTTCGATACAGAAACCTTGACGAAGCAATGGAAGCACTCGACACAGATGGCATTCCCCACGACTATCCAGTTCCTCCATATGACGCCACATTTCCCCAGAACCCAACGGACCGAGCCGCCTACATCCGCCGGCTTTTCGATGCCTTTGTCGACATAGACTCGTGTATTGACCGCGAAGACACCGATGCTTTCGTCACCCGGTGGCAGGGAATCCCCAACAACACATCATGCTACAGCCGAGGAGATGTCGAAACATGCTGCCATCTACTCCTCGAGATGGCCATGGACCTACACACGAAGGGTCCACGTAGTCTCAACATCTTCGACACGGGAAAATTAGAGCAAGTGCACAAGTACCATGGCTTTACCTTTGCGCAGCGGATCGACAGTATCTGTAAACTGTTAAGACTGAGTAAAGTCCGGTGTCAGTTGCTGCTGCGGTTTGAGGGCTTGGAAGTCGCGGTTGGAATCCCGCCTTTGTTGGTTGCGCAGGTTAGGATGAATCTCAAGCAGAATACAAAGAGGCGGGGTGCTGTGGGGATAGCGGGGGGGGTGAACGAAGAGGGGAGCGAGGAGAACGAGGATGATGGAGAGTATGATACGGATTTCGAGGCAGAAGGTGGTCTGGAAATCGATCTGGATGATGGTTTGGAACACTATCCATACGGTGACCTGCAAGACAAGAAGGAAGATGAGAGGAAGGATGAGGGTGCCATCAAGAGGGCAGAAGGTGAAGGTGACAAAGGCGAAGAATAGTTCAATTGTCGTGACGTGCCAGCCGAAATACCCTGAGCTATATCAGCACATTTCACAGCACCTAGCTAAATGGCCGTCCAATCTTACAAGTAAACTCTTGCTCTTTTCTCAAAATACCCCTCTTGAACCTATGCAATACCAACTCCCGAACAACAACAACAACAACACCCCAACATATCCAATTTCCCCCATCTATCCTTCCCCTTTGCCCACCTTCCATCTCCCATCTAAATTTCCAATCTCAACCCATTTTCCCATCCCCATCTCTCTCTCTCTCCCCCCCCCCTTTTTTTCCATATGCGATTTTTTCTTATACAAGCCACTTACTTATCTTCTCTCCGGGGAATTTGTTTCCACAGTAAAGTAAAAAAAAATTAAAAAAAACCGCACGACATTCTTTCTACATGGCGCTTTTGAAATCCAGTACGGAATCTTACATAGTTATGCGACCTTAGCTTTAGCTTCTTGATCAATCACATTTAGTGCCATCAATCATGATGGTGACTGTGCTTCCCTGGCTACACGCTGTGAAATTTTTTTTCGGATGTCTCACGTGTACTTTTCCCATTTTTTTCCCATTATTTTTTTTTTTGCATTACATTGTTCGCGAGTGTTTGCGGTATGCGTTTGTTTGGTGGGCTCAGAGATGGCATGTGTGTGTGCAAGGTGTGAATGCATGATAGGCAGTGGGAAGAAGAACAGGAAAAAAGTGTTAGTACTGGTGTTCTGGCTCATGCTTGCTGTATGTTCATTGTGCACTTTTTTTTGGTGTCCCAAGGTACACGGGTCTTTCTTTTCTTTTTTGACCGTGACAAGGATTTCATTGGTACAGAGAAATACCTAGCTGGATCATTACTACATAGCACCCGCATGATAATTCATCTGATATGCACATACTTTCTTCCTCTCTCCACATACTCCGTTCCCTTGCCTTCACCTCCGTTCCAGAAGCTTACAGCACTCACCCATTCACAGGCTGAAAAAAAACCCCCCGCTCAGCCACACGCTAGTATGGCCTTCACTCCGAGACCGCGCCACATGCATTCACAGGGCCATTTCTCGCGGGTATATCAGGGCGTCGACGTGTTTTTCCCCCTCTGGTTGGTGTTGCGACTAAACATACAACCCAACTCAACCAGCTCAACTCAACAACACAACAACACAATAAGACCACTTACTTACTCGCAAGATCGAGATTGCAACACCAACATCAACACCAACACCACAGTTAAGATAACATGGCTTCATGGAATAATAGTCAGGTATACATGCCCGGTTATCACACAGACGCGCTGCCTCGCACGCGCTACGCACAGCAGGGAGTAAGCGGTGCGGAAGCATGGGATAGCGATTTGATATCTGCGTTTTCGGGATGCGATGAGCAAGGTCAGTTGGAAATTTTTTACCAACAGCAACAGCAGCAGCAGCGGGATGCGCAGCAGATGTCTGGTCCGGGTTATCGATGGAATGGGAGTGGTAAGTGTGCTAGTTAACTCTTGTGAGGCGTTTGTAGACTAATATTTTGTGCTAGAATATCAGTGGTGTTTGGGCGACGTCCAGTTTGTCGGGCTGCATGGATTGGAGCGGGAGCCGGTGCAGTGGACATACAATCCTTTTGTGACGCAGGCGCACGACTATGCGCAGCCAGCGATGCAGCCGTGGATGCAGGGAGGCGTGGAAACGGCGCCAATGATATATGCTGGGTCCCATGTCAACGACACTGGAGTCACCGCGAGACAGCAGGCTTGGGAACCCATGTACGCGTCGTTCGCAGAAGCCCGGGCTGCCATTCCGCAGGTAGACTGGCGGTGTCGTGCAAACGACACTACACTTCCCCAGAGCGACGACGAACGCCAGGACTACGTGAGCCAGCTGCTCACCGCACTCAACAGCGTGCACGAGACGATTGGGGCGCGTGGCGCAAAGTTCCGGAAGCGGTGGTTTGACCCTGTCAAAGGCGTGTCGACGTACTACTCGCCCGCCGCCAAGGAGACGTTGTGCTGGGTGATACTAGCCAAGGCTGAGAAGCTACACAGGCTCGGTCCCAGCGACGCGTTTTTGAGCTGCGATCGCAAGTTCTGGACAGCTGTCAAGCGGACGCGGGACTGGAGCTTTGCGGAGCGCATCGACAGGATTGCTGAAGTGCTGGCGCGCTCCAAGAGCAAGTGTGATGGCATGTTTGCGGGCAGTGGTGTGCAGCTGGTGGTGGGAAACCCGGGGAAGATGCTGCGAGCTACAAAGGCGGATTTGAAGCAGAATGAGAGGAAGAGGGTGATGTTGGAGGCGAGCAGACGTGATCAGAGGCCGGTGAAGAGGGCGAAGACTACTCGGCGGGACTGAGTCATGGCTTTGTTCTCCATGTTTCTCGTGTATATTATCTGGCAGGTGATATTGATTGGACTGGGGGTAGAACGGCGCGGGGATCGACACAGCTAGACGTTGTTATTGACGATTCTAGGCCCTGGCGTCTACGGAGTCAACTCCATGCGCCTGGTTTTGTGCCCGAGGACTTGAAACTGCCGAGATGTGTAGTCGCTTGCCAATGTGCGCCATTATAGCTCAAGTGCAGTTATATCCACTGTGCTGGTACTAATGAACGCATGGTGATATTGTCTAAACGTTGACCACGTGCCTCTTGGTCAGCTTCTCCGCCGTTTTGCTCCGCTTGCTGGATATTCAGACTTCATTATGATTCTTGATGGCGCCATGCCATGGCGCTTCGTCCGTATTGGCCTGCACAGATATCGCCCAGAAGAAGTGATATCGGAACGGCGGTGGATAATGCCCGTCGGGGCGCAGCCGGATAGCCGTGCCACGTTGCGGCCGCGGTCAAGGATGATCGTCAGGCTCTTATGACAGAGCCGCAAACGCAGGGCAGATAGTAATTGGGTGCTGGGTTTTGCGATGCGTTCACGGCATACTTGCCGTCTCCACATGGTCACTTGGCCCAGAAATTTGCAAAGACAGGCTGGTAGTGCGGCAGCTAATCCAGGATCGGGTTCTGCCCAGTATCGCCTTACACATGGATCTATACCTTTTGGGCGACTTTCCGACGACGCCCTTTCTGATTGAGCACACCGGACGGGACCAGCAGGCATGGCTGGCTTGCATTCTTCTCCCCCCTGCGGGGGAAAGCTGACAGTTTACCTTTTCGACGCCTGGAGTTGCACGAAGGAATGCGTCTAGGCACCTTCTCGGCGGCGGCGACTCAGGACGTCGACGAACCCCTCGAGGTTGCCTTAGAACCGCTACCTAAGTCCGGGATCGGAGAGTGTTGAGGGCTCCAAGAACAGCAACCGGTAAACCATGACGGGCCAAGTGCGGAGTGGCTGGCGAGTAAGAGGGTCCATATCGGCGTTTGACGTCGGAGTTGTCCTGGTGCAAAGGATGCGGTACGGCCAGGGTGTGCGTTTTGGCCTGTCCAAACGCTGTCGGGGTTGCCGCCATGGAGAAGACGGCGCGATGCCTGTTCGAGGCTTCATCAGGCGAGCCGTATCCGCATGCTCTTGGCCACTCCGCCGCCGTGTGCCAGTCTTGTTCGTGCCCCCCACAGGTCATTTGACGAGAGTTGGAGGTGCTGGTGAAGCCACAAGGCGCCTGTGTGGAGCGTCTGAGTGGCTGCTAGGGAGACGCGGCACAGCGTCTTTGTTGCGCCTTTGGGCAGGCGACGCGGCGGGCGTTGAAAGAAGCCCGCTCCAAGAAGGCTCGGCTGACGACGAGCCCTCTTGGCTGTCTCATGAGCTGCTTCCCCCCTCTTGGCCTGCGACGAGGTTGGTGGGTTGGTGGTTGGTCTCCGCGGCGGCACGGCTTGACTGCGGGGTCGTTTGCCAAGTTGGGTGGCTGACCTGACCGGTGTGAAGCTTCTTTGCCAGGTCGTATCGCGACAAGCTTCTGTGGTGCGCGCAAAGCTTGAGCGCCCATAAGCACGCTGTTTGTTCTTGGTGTCGCTCGCGGTCGTGGTGTTGCGGTGCAGTGTTGAGGGCTCGCGGCGGTTGCGCTAAGTACGTACCGGCAGTTGCGCAAAGCTACCAGAGAGTGGGAAAAGCAAAAAACGGACCCCACGGGGAAAAACGACACAACGGCGTCTGGCCCGCAAAGGATCAACACACCCACTTCTTCTTCTTCTCCTCAGCAACGTCGCCCGGGATGCGTCTGGTGTCATCCCGGATCATTATCTGCCCCCTTGGCTGTGTTTTGCGCTAGGCGGCTCCACACAATTGCTTAGGGCACCGTGGGCGTCTTGGCAGCCTCGACATGGTTGCATTCACTCTGCGTCTCCCAACGACCATTGCAGCCCGCAACTTGGCACCGCTTGGCTCGCATCAGACGCAGCGACATGCCGACAAGGGCCCCGATAGCATCGAGACGACTGAAGGCGCCCGGCAGCAAAACACATGGCTATATATAAGACTTCCCCGCGCCCCATCATGCAGAGACCATCGCCAGTGGCTTTGTGCTTCTTCACACAGGGCCCTCTCTTCTTCCACGCTTCCCCCGACTCTTTGCTGAAGCATACCGAGCACCATGGCGAGCACCAACCGCCCCGCAGACCCCTTGGCCAAGGGAGTCATCCCTACCGCCAAACAGAGTCTCAAGGACCTGTTCACCTGGGACCAGCGTGTCGTCGTTCGCAATGACTTTGGCGAGGAGCATTGCGAGTGGCAGAAGCCGGAGCCTCTCAAGAACCCAATCAGCCTCTTCGCCCAGCTGGGATGGAAAGACTGGCTGTACTTTGCCGTTGGGTTTCTCGCTTGGACGGCTGATGCCTTTGACTTCCACGCCCTGTCGATCCAGACCACCAAGCTCGCCAAATACTACCACACGACCAACACTTCCATCACGACGGCCATTACTCTGACACTGCTTCTCCGCTCCGTCGGCGCTGCCATGTTTGGTGTGGCTGGAGACAAGTTTGGCCGCAAATGGCCCATGGTTGTCAACATGATTGTCCTTGGTCTTCTCCAGGTGGCCACCATCTATGCTGGCACCTTTCAGCAGTTCCTGGCGGTCCGCAGTCTGTTCGGTCTCTTCATGGGAGGTGTCTACGGAAACGCAATTTCCATGGCGCTGGAGAACTGCCCGTAAGTTCCAGCTCATCTTCTTCTTGCCTTCGTATACTGACAGTGCTAGTGTCAATGCCCGTGGTCTCATGAGCGGTATCCTGCAGCAGGGTTACTCGTTTGGCTATGTCATCGCCGCCTGCGCCAACCTGGGCGTCGGTGATGCGACCAACACCTGGAAGACTGTCTTCTGGGTTGGCGCCGGCTTCTCCATTGCTGTCGGTCTTGTCCGAGTCTTCTTCCCCGAGTCCAAGCAGTTCCTCGAAGCGAAGCGATCTGGCACCAAGAAAGCTCCCGGCGCCTTCTGGGCAGAAACAAAAGAAATGCTTCGCACCGAGTGGAAGATGTGCGTTTACTGCATCATCCTGATGACCTGGGTATGTTGGCCTTCTTTAGCGTTTGAATCTGGACACGACCACTAACACGACTACAGTTCAACTACTACTCCCACACCAGCCAGGACAGCTACACCACCTTTATGAAGCAGCAGAAGCACCTCAGCCCCGCTGGTGCTACCCGCGCCTCTATCCTCATGAAGACTGGCGCTTGTGTTGGTGGCACAATCCTCGGATACACTTCGCAGTGGTTCGGTCGCCGCCGAATGATTGTCTGCGCTGCCCTGATCTCTGGCTGTCTCATTCCCGCCTGGATCCTGCCTACCACTGAGCGCGGCCTCTCCGCATCCGGCTTCATGATCCAGTTCTTCGTGCAAGGTGCCTGGGGTGTCATTCCCATCCACTTGAGCGAACTGTCCCCGCCTGCATTCCGCTCTTCCTTTGTCGGCATCACCTACCAACTCGGCAACATGATTTCCTCGCCCTCGGCCCAGATCGTCAACGCAATTGCTGAGTCGACCATGATCACAACGTCAAAGGGCACTGCATCTCCCGCCTACGGACCCGTCATGGGCGTTGCTACTGCCATCATTGTCATTGGCATCGCAGTGACTACTGCTTTGGGACCAGAGAAGAAGGGCCGTCATTTCGAAGAAGCCGGTCCTATTGGCGCAAACGCTGAGCCTGTCAAGGACATCGAGACGGGAAGCATCCAGAGCGAGAAGGGGGGTGCCAGGGCAGTCGAGATGGTTGATGAGACCAGCAAGGCCGAGAAGGTTTAAGCATAACAGTTCGATTTGTAACGGGCGTAATCCTCTCTCTCTATTACTCTATTTAGATCATGACTTGTAACGAAGCAATACTATAATCTGATCCTCAAAAGCCACTTTTTTCGCCCTCTCAATCATATTCCTCGCACGTGACATTATTATTATTATTATTATTATTATTCTACTTTAACGTCCTTTTTCAGCCCGAAGGGCTATATAAGACGTGTAGGGTTTTTAGGCCTACAAGTATCTAAGTAGGTTGTTTCTAGCTACGATATTTAGGAGGGGTTTTAACTAGATGAAGGTGAGGCTCGTAGCCTATTAGTTGGTAGGTA